GTCAATTTTCCCTTGAGCTAATTCAAACCTGCTAAACGAGCTTCTTGATAAGGATCCCAAGGGCAGGAGAGGAGGAGACTTCCAGAACCTCTGGGGGAAACCTTGACTTCAAGTTTATCATGATACATGAGGAGATCACGGGAAATGAATGGATTTTATATAAGACTATGCTCTTCTTGTAATGACTGATGCATCCTAATACAAAATAGCAAAAAAAGAGAATGTGTGTTACATTTTAGTTCTCTAAAAGATTAATGTGTTCAGAGACACTGACATAGGTAGGTTACCCTAGAATAGCTAGTACAAGAACTGGCAATCCATGCATTGGTGAGATTGTGAAGCAACTATAACTCTCAGCTCTTGCTGATAAGAGTGTCAGTTGTGGTTGTGTGTGTGTGTGTGTGTGTGTGTGTGTGAGAGAGAGAGAGAGAGAGAGAGAGTTTTGTAACAACTACTTTGAAAAACTGGTTGGTGGTGTTAACTAAAACCAACACCTACTCCTAATATATACTCAAGAGAATAAAGGCATAAAAATATGATATAAATGATCCTATCAGCTTTACTTGTAAGCGTTCAAAATGGAAAATAACATGAGTGCCCATCAGCAGTAAAATGGATACAACATGGTAGATATACAAAAACCAATATTACAACAGAACGAAAAACTACAAGGGTGGGGCTGGGAAGGTAGCTCAAGTGGTAGAGCGCTAGCCTTGAGCTGAAGAGCTCAGGGACAGCGCCCAGGGCCAGAGTTCAGGCCCCATGACCGGACCGCCCCCCCCCCCCGCAAAAAAAGAAAAACTACAAGGGTGAATTCCATAGACACATTATTGAATGAAATTGATGCAACTAGTACATAGAATATGAGTCCATTTTGATGAAGCTCATACAGATAAAACTAATCTATGGAGACAGACAGCTTCCCACTGTGGTCTAAGGGGTAAATAGGGAGACCTCTAAAGGAAATGTTTATATCTTAATCTAGGTGAGGACTAACTAGGTATATATAATTTTTACCTAAAATGTAACCTTAAGATGCATGTGCTCTGGTATATTTATTTTTCAACAAATGATAACCTAAAACACAACTCAAACATCAAGGCCATGAAGGAAGATCTTACATGATTTTTAAAAGTGAAGTGTTTTCCACCAAAGAGCAAAATGTTTTCAGACCAGAAATACAATTTCCCTCCCTGCTGTCTCCACCTCCTCCATCCTGGGTCACTTGGAGAAAGGTCAGCTGATGTGTTTGACAAAAGATGTCCCGGGTAACTGGGAGCCACCTCACCCATTCCTGGTTGAGAAGCAATGGTTTAATCATTTCTGACCCCTCATCCTGATACAGCCAAATCCACTTAGGAATGAACTCTTCCAGTGTGTCTGTTTTTTCCTGAGATGTTCACTACTTGTCTCTCATGTTACCTGCATATATTTGAGGTCTATGCTGCAGAATTCCAACATAAGGTTTCAGTTTCTATACTCTATGCCTTTTTTGTTATGTTTCAGGATATTCTGTAACTCCTGAGATTTCAAAGTATCTGTTCTTTTTTTTTACACCATTTATTATGCTCTGTGGCCTATAGGAACAGCCTGAGTTAAGCTCTATGTCTGGCTCTGCTGTTTAATCAGGAAATGAATATCAGTCAGCACCTTCAAACCTAAGAAAGATGAAGTTCTCTGACTTCATTCTATGGAAAACATCTGCAATGGCTCCACAAGAAATGTGTAACATTAGCCTCAGGAGAGGATTTTGCCTCTGTTCCTTGGGAATTTTCAGGAAAAGGGATGTCTGTATGAACTCAGGATATTAATATTGCCACTCAGAGACATAAAAAGGACTAGAAGGGGTTTCTGCTGTACTAAAGGAAATTTATGAAGGAAAATTCCAAAATACTAAAACAGCTGAAAGATGATTTTATAACAAAGGCCTGAAAACAATGTCTGAGAAATTATTGTCAAATTGAGTACTTCTACTTAAAAACTGCCCCAAAGAATGAGCTTCTCACAAATCTTTTTAGTACACTGTAAGCCATACTATAGATTGCCTCCAAATGAACTCAGTCTGCACTTTGCCATGAACTTTTTTCTGCAAAAGACACGTTCCCTATGTTCTGTCCACTAGACACAGGCGCTTGCCAAGAACTTGACACTTGGCTAGTGCAACTGAGGTACTAATTTTTTTTCTTTTTATTGGTCTTGGGGCTTGAAGTCTGGGCTTGGGCACTGTCTCTTAGCTTTTCAACTCAAGGTGAGTGCTCTACCACTTGAGCCACAGCACCACTTCTGGTTTTCTGGTGGTTTATGGAGATAAGAGTCTCCTGCCTGGGCTGGCTTTGAATCATGATCCTCAGATCTCAACCTCCTGAGTAGCTAGGATGACAGGCATGAGCCACCAACACCCAGCTTGATTTTTTTTAACTTAAATGTAAGTAGCCATATTTGGCAAACAAGGCATGCAGTAATTATAGCTTGATCCTTAGCACATTTTTTTTTTCTTTCACACAAGGGGAAAGCCTGGCTTACTATCTTGTTTTTTTTTTTTAAATTTTTGACTAATATCTTTTTCTTCCTCATACAGAGTTTATGAGAAATTAGTTTTTACAGCCCTCAGGTCTCTACTGACAGTTTCTGAAGTAACTTCCAGTATCTAATCTCACCCTTCAGGTTGATTCGTTAATAGTTTGAGGACAATTTGGGGGACGTACTTGATTTTTGCCAGGCTGGGTATGGAACCGAGAGCCTAGCACATTCCAAGCAAGTGCTTTTCCACTAAACCTCACCTCTAGCTTAGTACAATTGTCTAGATAAATATTAAATATTTTAAAAATTGAATGTTATAAAACTGATCACAAAAGGAGTATTTGTTTAAATCAATGTTTAAGAGCAAAGATTGTGCTGGACACCTATAATACCCTTTACTCCCCTCCACTGTGGGGAATCCATAATACTGTGTATTCTACTACCGAGCTACATTTGCAGCTCAGTGCCACATATTTTTAACTGGGTGTTTCCACGAGAGAGGACAGGTACTCAGAAAATGAACCAAGAGTATCAATAGTAAAAGAAAAATACTAGTTAAGTATGTTAAATACACAGAAAGCTACTAGCCTACCTCTGTACATTGAATTCCTATACAATGAATTGTAACTTAACGTAGTATGTAAACAAACTGCAAACATTGTTTGTGAGTATAATAAGTGGCCAAGCTCAACCAATCACAAGCAGCCAATCATTAGCTAGTCACAGTCTGCCAACAGATCAGACTGTATAAACACAAGTAATTGTGGGACTGCATCCAATCCACACATATCTATACAGTACTTGACTGCCATTCTCTGTCTATAAATACTGCCAGTTGAGCTCTCTGTACTTTTTCTGGTTCTCAGCACCAATTCTTGAATTGTTTTTTGGTCAAGTAAACTTTGCTAAATTTAACTTCTACAAAGTTTTTCTTTGAACAGGCAAAAGTGAAGGGGGGGAGACAAAGATACTTTGTAGGGCAAATTTTAGTCAGTTTCCTGAAATTACTCCTAGGCCTTATCTAAGCACATTATTGTAATTCCCACATTAAGTGAACAGCCCTGGAAGTCAGCTTAGCACCTCCCAACTCAATGCTTGATCACTGTCAGTATCTGATTCTGTTCCACATACTCCACTGTCATCCTCACTTCTGATCCTGGCCTGTCTTTGGCAGGAATCCTATTAAGTAAAGTTAGCCAGAATCTCCCCTATTCCTAAAGCTTCCTTTTATAAGTACTTTTCCATCCACTGCCTCCCAGTTGCTCCTTGACTAAAAATCCCCTCTTGTCCATGCTATATTTGGGGTTAAGTCCAATCTGTCTCTAAGCCAAGATCTTATTGCCACAGACCTGATTTATATTTATCATGCGATTCTTGAGAATGATTTCTTGCCATGTTTTAATAAATGTCGCTGTATTTTTTAACGATATAAAATCTAGAAATTAAAGTTACAATAGCTAACTTTACAATAGCTAAAGTTACAATATCCCTGCAATAGCTTAAAGTCTAGAAACAGGAAAAGCAACTCTGACAGCTCCGAGCTAGATGAGTCCTTACAGCTGGACCCTGGTGTTCTTCAGTAGAACATAAATAATTTCACAAAACATTGACATTCAGCTAAGGCTACTCTCTAGCAGTGGTAATTCATGACAAAAACAAGACTCCTTTGTAATCCTGTCCTGTTCATAATGGTGGCAAAAACATAGCATTTTCCAAACCACAAAAATGATCAGACACCCCTTATGCTGATCACTATGCATCACTGTCTTCCCTCCCTGGTGCTAAAACTTATTACATGACTCAATCATAGAATCATCCTGCTTTCTGACAGTATCTGGTGCAGAAAAACTGGAGTGGATATTCTGTTTCCTGAAACTTTTCACCAAATTATTCTGGAGTGGGGGAATCAACAAAAAGAGACTGCCACCTTCTCTAGCCCACTGTCACAATTGCAGGCAAACAGTGAGCACAGCTAAGAAGTTCAGGTTACACAGAATTACAGAATGTGTATCACTTTTAGACCAACTGTTGTGTAATAAATATTTCTTGGATTAATTAGCTAAGTTTATGTCTACAATAATATCAATATCAAACTGACCACTGTCTTGAGAGAAAGTTAAAAAGGGTACGTTGAAGAGCAGTTCAACAAACTTGGCTGCTAAGAAATTAAAAAAAAACAAACAAACACACAAAACCCAGCTAGCCCAGCTAGCGTAGTTTCAGGTTAGGCCCAAGCAGCCAGCTTCGCTCCTCCCACTGGAAACTTCAAAGGGTCAGCCCTTAGGCTGCAGATCCTTCTGCGCATTCGCTATTTCCCTGCCACAGTGTACTGGGTCCCACGCCCTCGTTCTCTGGTTCCTGGGTTTCGATTGGTTGAGCCTCTGTCATTCAGCCTTGGCAACCGGAAGTTATTTTTTTCTGAGAGCTCCGGAACCACGTCGGTCCCGCGCCTGCGCATTTCACCGAGTCTCTTTCTGGGATCTGCGGGGCTTCCGCGTGGTGAAGGGCGAGCCCTTGTTTCCTGTGGAAGCCGGTTCCGGCACTTAGAGGCTTTCTGGCGCGCCCTGGGCCCAGGAGGCCTTAAGGTGCTGTCATCTAATTTTTTTCCTCTCTTCTAGTTGTCAGCAGGGTGGGCAGAACCCTCGGACCGCTGCTGCTGGTTTGTCGGTCACGGTCAGGCTGTGGTCCCCGGAGGGTTAGCTGCGGGCTTTTCTTAGTGCTAGACTCCACCCACCGGAACTCGAACCATTTCCAGACGAGCCTTGAGGCTGCTCCCCTCTGCCGCTGCACGCTTAGCCCTAGTGTAGGATCTGCAGCGCCTCATTCTGCCAGAATTTGGCAGCATATCTCTCCCTAGAAGGGGCTCCCCGTGACCTTGGAGAATTGTGTATAGGTGAGGGCCATAATATGCATTTTTGCTCCTTAGGTCTAAAAGAGATCTAAAAATCTATAAACAGATCTAGACTACTGCTAATGCTAATATGCTACCAGCTTGTGGAAATTTCACCATGAACTTTAGGCTGTTACTTTAGTGCATGTGTATAGACTTTGCTCGTATATAATATGAGTTGATATTTACAAGCTTTGTTATATGCGTTCACTTAGGGCCTACACTTGTGGCACTGTTGAAATTCATATTTATTTTTACTCAGAAACTAGAGCACACTTAGGTGTGCAGCTCAGGATGATCAATATTACTATATGTTTTAGGACTATCCAATAAAGTTCCATAAGGCTTGAGCATTTGAAATGTACTTGTCCAAATAGAGAGGTGCTGTAAACATAAAACAAAAATTTTGAGAATTATATGAAAAAATTAAAATACAACAATTTTTTTTATCAATTGCATTTTGAAATGGCAATTTTTGGAGGCCTTAGAATGTAGGTCAGTGACAGACCTTAGCATGTATGAAGCCCTGGGCTTGATCTCTAACACCACATTTTTTTTAAGTAAAGACAAGGCTGGGAAGTTGGCTCAATGGTAGAGTGCTTGCCTCACGGGCATGGGGCCCTGGGTTCGAATCCTCAGCACCACAGAAGCAGAAAAAGCGGGAAGTGGTGCTGTGGCTCAAGTGGTAGGGGGCTAGCTTTGAACTGAGGAGCTGAGGGACACCACCCAGGCCCAGAGTTCATTTCCCACAACCGACAAAAAGAAAAGACAATATTTTGGAAATACTGGGTTAAATAATTTTACGTACTTTTATTTTTAATATGCCTTTTAGAAAATTATAAAGCATATTTGTGTATTGCTTATTATTTCAGAGGGGCCACACTACTCTAGAAAAGGGTCAAGAAACCATGCCTGTGCAAATTCAGTCGGCCTGTTTGTGGAAACAAGCTTTGTCTGAACCAAGTTGTGTCCACTCATTCTTGTATTTTCTATGTCTGCTATTTCTGCTTCAAGAGTTGAAGACTTGAGTAGTTTAGGCAGAGAGTGTATGGCCTGGTTACTGTTTGGCTTTTTATAGAAAATATTGCCAGCCCCTACTCTGGACCAGAACCTGATATGGTGGATATTCTTCAGCTTTTTGTGTGGTTGGCTGGTTTTGTGTTTTGAGATGGTGGCCTAGAGTTCGAGATCCTCCTTCAGCCGCCTGAATGCTGTTGATTATAGAGATATGTCACTACACTTGGAGATACTTTTAAACCTTTTAAACTGTAGACCCACATAATGGTCAGACTTGTTATAAACTTCTTAGCACTTTATAAAATAACTATCTCCTGAGAGAGATGGGAGACAACGATGGAAGGGGTGACATAGATCAATATAAATTGTACTTATAAACTGAATTTGAACCCCTTTGTCCAACTACTTAAAAGTAATTTAAAGCCGGGCACTGGTGGCTCACGCCTGTAATCCTAGCTACTCAGGAGGCTGAGATCTGAGGATCGCGGTTCAAAGCCCGCCCGGGCAGGAGAGACCATGAGACTCCTATCTCCAATAAACCACCAGAAAACCAGAAGTGGTGCTGTAGCTCAAGTGGTAGAGCGCTCGCCTTGAGCTGAAGAGCTGAGGGACAGC